ATACTTTTTTGCAGACACAGATAAGCAGAAGCTGCTACGAATTGCTGGTTGCCTGGTAGTTTGTTACTTAAATCATTGAGTCACTATTTTAGAACAAGATTGAATCCGGTGAAGTCACCGGTATAATGTTGATAAGTCACTTTCTTAAATCAGCATGGCAACCAGACATTTGGCATTTTTTAAGAGAAAGCTCATTAATACCTCCTCAAAGGATTATTTAAAGTTAAAGGATGTTAAATTGTCTTCCTTGGGAGCTGGTTCATGCTAACTCTGTAGAATACATTAATAAAGGGGCTGGCTGTATTTCTAAATGCAAAAATATAAACAGCTATTTATATGTGTAAGGAATAACAGTGTAGATTGTTGACCTAAGGGAGTATCTAATTACCTTTGGGGATCAGGAAGGATTTTTTTCCCTGTAAGAGTATATTGGATTGCCCTTTATAAGAATGCCTTCTGGATTAGCTGCAAGTTTGGGGTTTAGAAGGTTTTATGTATTTATTTATTTTTGTCTTTGTTTAAACGTATTGGACGTGTGTCTTTCTCAGCTTGATTATCTATGTGACTATATGTGTAAAGAAAGCCTTCCTTAATATTATAAGCCTGTATCGGTTGAGCATGTAGTTTGGTGTTGGGCAGACACTTTCATGCCTTCCTTCTCTTGGAAAATTAATTGAGTTCAGCTGGAAAAATACTACATTTCTTGTTCATTGAGGGACACAGTATTCAGAGACAGTTGGGCTACACTGATGTCTACAGGAAGATTTGTACACTGGCAAAAAAAACTAAACCGTAACCAGCCTCCTACTCCCAACATGCCTCAGTTTTCTTGAACAAAACAGTGTCACAAAAAAAGGCAATGGACATGAGGGTGGAATTTTTTGCAAATGTCTAAATCCTGTGTGAAAGTAGTATAACCCACATGTCTCTGAATATTGTGTCTCTCAAAGAACTCCAAGAAAAGTATTTTACCTCGAGTACAAAAAAAGCCTTTTTTTCTGGCTATTGAGACTGGTTGGATTAGACATGTCTGTAAATTAACTTTTATAACAGGTGATTTGCTTTTATTTGTTTCTGTAATTGGCAAATAGAAAACTAGTTTTACATATAATGGTTTTTGGTTCTAATTTTGACTTATCAGCGAGGCTGGATATAATCGCCTCATGTCTTTTAGCACTTCATATTATTTAATTTGAGCTTATGTGCTTTTTGTTTCTTCTTCTTTCAAATGTCTGACAGTAAATAATTGTCCTTCATACCATGGCTGCAGCATTTTTACAAGAATAACTTTTACTTTATTAGCTATGTAACTGTCTACCACTAGTATGTGTGATAACATATGCACGATTAAAATGAGCGGCATGTTTGTTAAAACTGCTGGGAGGAAATGGCCATAAGGTCAGATAAAGTAATTTTCTCTAGTTTTTCCCTGTAACAATAAGTACAAGATAAAACACTTACTGTGTCATTAACATCAAACTCTGACGTTTAATTAAGGTTCATTTTACACAATGAAGCCATGGCTGCTGTTTTTTAGATAAAAGCCAAGTAAAATGCCAAGCGTTTTATGTTAGAGGGTTGGGTGACTCAGTGGGATGACAGAGCACTCACCTGCATGATTTCAATATACAACTCTACTCTCACAATCTCATTTTATATTTTCACAGGGCCAAAGGATTTAGATTACAAATGGGTATTGTCAAGCAGCTTTGTCTACTGATGCCTTGCATAATGATAGAAAGGTCAAGCGTAAAAATCTTATGAATTCAAATTGGATATGATTCCTGAGTTAGTGAGGGCCCTTGAGTAATAATTGAGAAAGGTATCCCTTAGCTTGGTGGGAATCGACAGCCCGGCCATTTTTCTTTATCATTTGTTTAATAGATGAAAGTTGAGGCCTTGACAGATCAATCAGCGGAGAGGTAGAATAGGCTCAATTACACACAATCTACAATGTTTAAAGCAGAGGAATTACATGTAATAGGCACACAAATGTGGGCTGAGTCACTTCTCTGTCCTAAGACTGATCTCCCCTAAAAACAGAGCTAGGCTTTCTTTGATGGTGGCTGTATTCAAGAGCCGTCTGTAGATTTAAAGAGAATGTGTCACTGAGAAAAGAGCACTTCATCATGCTAAAGTGAATTAGACTAAAAAGAAGTACCCACAATTGCAAAACGTTTCCCAGCACACTCACCAGCCAGCATGCAAAAAAAAACAAAAACTGTTTAACCGCTAAGGTTAAAAAAAGGGTTTTAGATACATGTCTGCTGCAGAATATGTGAAAGCCGCACTGCCACGTCAAGGCTCCTCTGTGTAGTGCGCTCCTAACCCTAACGTATGAGAGTCCATCTTGGAGCACATGTAGCAAAAGATAAAATTGGGTGCAGGTTCACCAGGAGGTAGCCCAACCTCCTTAAAGGTACAAGGACACACAAGGGACTCTGCACATCACAACGACAGCTGAGACCCCCAGTGTGTCACTACACCAAATCAGTCAAGCCAAACACATGGCAAACACTCTCATCCACTTATAACCAGCTTTCAAGCAAAGGTGCACATGGAAGGGCTTTATACAGTACAACAGCATTTTCTTTTGGATGCTGGCTGGTGAGTGTGCTGGGAAACTTTTTTGCTGTTGTACTGTATAAAGCCCTTCTATGTGCACCTTGCTTGAAAGCTGGTTATAAGTTGATGAGTGTGTTTTTTCCATTTGTTTTGCTTGACTGATTTGGTGTCCCCACAATTGGACACCTATTAGGATCTGAATGTTTAGTCTTCAACTACTGGAAGAATACAGGCTACTTATATTTGATCACCCCTTATCTAGCATTACACATTATTTCTTAATTTGGTTCTTTAGTTTGAACTTCCAAGAGGCCAGAGTTTGCTTATATTAGCTGTTGATTAATATTTGTGATTCAACACTGTACACGCTTGGTAACAGTTTATCATGTAAAAGAATCTACAATTGTTGCAGTTTTCCTACACAGAACAATTTTGTGGAATTTTTTGTGGTTAATTCTTCATCAAACACATTGTCTCCAATACCATCAGGGTTATTCAGTGAATAATACAGCTAATTGGACTTGCTTTACTGAAGCACGAATGGTATCAATTGTCTGCTTTGGGTTTTTCACAAAAAATTAACCTTTGGTAACAGCATCTTTAAAGAAGAGAGTAAACACTTCTCTTTCCCATTGCCCATACAGTCTAACACCACTTTGAGGAAGAAGAATCATTCACTGAACTTTTCCGCGAGTGTCAATTTCCTGTGCTCTTTGGTTTCTCTAGCCCGCCCCTACAATACAGGTAGGTGTTAACAGCAGCAGGAACCACTAAAGCACAGCTTGAGGGCACAGGAGATGGACACATTTAGAAATGTCAGTTTCTGAAAATATGATTCCTTTTCATTAAAACAGTGTTTGGCTGAGTTGGGGTAAATGTTTATACTCTTTACAGGTACATCTGTTGTTAAGATACATTTTTATAGCATGATCATATCATCGGTGTATTATAGCAGGTGCTCTGTCTTTCACATCAGGTGTCATGGCATGCAGTCTGGCTGCCACACCATGTTTCCTGGCAAGAGCCCTGCCTTCTACCTTTTGTGTCACAACCGGTAGATGTCCTACATGCCGTGTCTCATAACTTAGTGCCCTGTGTTCTGGCTTGTATACCTTAGCTAGGGATGGGTTATCTGCATTAGTGGAATGCATCTCTAGCCCTCTAGAAAGAGTATTAGTTTTGATTCCTATGTGTGCCCATGATTGGTAGTTGTAATCTGGTGGACTGTTGGTGGACCTCCAGGGATTGAATGTCTCACTTTTATAGTTCAACATTGTATTCCATAACTAGTGTCTAGTGGCAGATATAGCAAAGGGACCTTGTGCAGGAACATTTTTGGGGTACTTCCATTCAATTAAGAGGAAACAATTAGGGCATCATGCAGATGTCTATGTAGCAGAGGGAGTGCCAGCACTCACCTAATCCACATCCTGTTAATTTAGGCCTTTTAATCCATCCCAGAGCGCCCTTCTGCAGTTACACAGTCTGCATAAATGGTGTGTCTGCCCCTGCTAGTTCCCATAGCTCCCAACTGTCCCTGATTTTCCCTCTTTTGAATCCAAATCCCTCTGTCCCTGCTTCCTCTTTAGTTTTCCCTCTTTGTGATGTGAAGTATAGACCTGTATGACAATTGACTTTAACTACCAAGAGTGTTATACTGCACTAAACCTTTCATCCAATCTCTGAATTCTTGCATTTATCCCTTTATAAAAATGGGATAAAGGAAAAGTGTGTGTGTGTGTGTGTACATATGGTTTGAACAACCATTTTTTCATGCAAGTCCTTAGTGGGGTGTGGCAGGGTAATGTTCTGTGCCTACGGACTTTTGCACTTCAATGTGTCCTCTTTTCAATCCCAGAAAGTTGGGAGATATGCTGGTGCCTTAAATTCCACATCATGTATCATCGCAAGTCCTCTGCTTGCTGTGACTTGCATTGCGGCACATGCCCTTTCTACAGTATAAATATTGGGGCACGTTTTTTGACCTTCACATCATGCACAATAGCAGCCCCTCTGCACTGTGTCCCAAACCGTAGCTACTGCTCTGACTTATTACATGCCCTAGCATCCATCATTTTATTGCTTTCAATTCTATAGTTGCAGTTAAATGTATTATATAAAATGGGAGCCATGTTTTCCAATATAAAATAATTCTACTATGATCAGATTCTTGTTTTAATTTGTTAATGATAAATAAACAGTTATTGGGAGTTTGGTCTTTTTAATTTTAAAGCTATGCCCAAAACTAAAGCTTAAAAAAAAATACTTAACCTACTGTAAATACAAGTTTTACAATCTGGTTATGATCTTAAATGAGAAATTCAGTGCTGGTAATAATGTTACTGCAGCAGTAGCCTGTTTACTGTGTTATAACACATAGCAATTATTTATAATGGCATTACAATATTTCTTTTTGTTTGTTTTGTTTTAATTAGCTAACATCGGAACTGAAACTCTTGAAGTCTCAGATGGGTACAGCAGACCAGAGCCTCTCCATCAACAATGAGACCGTCAACTCTCTCAGGTATGTTAAGAAAAGAAAATAGAGGCAACACTGAAACTGTGTGCAGCCTAATTTAAGTCTGATTCATTATGTATTGTTTGTAGGATATGCATTACATTAAATGGATCTGTCACACAGAAACAGCACAAGTGACAATCTAGCGTTGTTTACATTAATCTCTCGGATATGAGGCAAGATAATTGCTGAAAAGTAGGTGAGGTAAATGATAAAATGTCTTTAGCAGTTTAAATTCATGATGCCCTTGCTGAGTAATTACTGGTGGAGCATCAACAGTTTAGTACCATTATGTGGACCGTTGAATAGAAACTGCATGGAGTTGAGGGCTGTCATCATTGTTTTGGCCTGGTCACTGCAGATGGTAATTCAAATGGCACCTTCAGAATGGAATTTGTTTTAAACTATTTCATGAATCTGAACACTAACAGCCTCCGCATAGTGAACTGGTGCAAGCACAATGTGCTGTCTTCTGAGTGACAGATTCTCTTTGACTGCCAGGGACATAAGGCATAGATTTATATGCATGTGCATTAGAAAAAAGTAATTCATAGGAGACCAGTCTGATAGCCTGTTACAGACCCTAATGATTTATATAGGCACTTTATGTTGCTCAAACAGTGAAGAGAGAGGCAAAACGGTATTCATACCTTACAATGCTGGAGTCCTGTGTTCTATTTCCACCAGGTTTCCTCCGGATACTCTGGATTCCTCACACACATGCTGGAACGCTACTTGGCTCCAGTCTAAATTGTCCCGGTGTGAATGCATGTGAGAGAGGGACCGTAGATTGTAAGCTCTTTGAGGGCAGGGACTGATGGGAATGTGCATTATGTAGAAGTGCTGTGTAAATTGTTGGCACTGTATAAATACCTGTAAGGCTTCATTCACACGAGAAACGTACAGCTCCGTGCTGGGTGCACGGCCGTATCGGGCAGCTCCCGGGAAGGACAGGTGCTGCGTGTGTGTGATTAGTACGCAAGCCCTGTCTTTCTCTATGGGACTACGAGGCCGTACACCACCTATGCTGACCCCAAGTGCAGGTCCATACCGGTTGCGTGTGTCCCGGCTGGGACGCAGACAGGGTCCATCCTGTCACGTACGAGTACGGACACTCGCATGGACGTGCAGGGCGGGTGAACGTAGGGCTGCGTACGGCGGCTTTGTCCCATAGAGCAAGATAGGGACTGCGTGCTAATCACACGCATCACCTGTCCTTCCCGGGAGCTGCCCGATACGGCTGTGCACGCAGCTAGGAGCTGTACGTGCCAGCCTTTTCTAGTGTGAATGAGGCCTTATACATAAATAAATAAGGATAATAGCGACAACCTAACAGACCTATATGTAGCCTAGTAAAACTCTGTCACATTGCTTACTTTGCAGCAATTCTGGCTGCAGGCTCACCAGGCCTCCCATAATTAAGGCATAAGTTAAACACCCCAGCAGAAGCAGACACTGTACAAGAAACTTGTCTACATCTGTGAGCCCCACCAATAAAGAAAGTGGTGAGAGGAAATTGAGAGGGAGGAAATAAAAGATAAGACAAGTAGAAGGGTAAAAAAGGGTCAGGGAGACATCGCCACTGAACTATACGTATCAAATACTTTTTTTGTCCCAAAATGGAGTTAGTTTGGGTCAATTCCACTTTATGTGGGTCATTGTTCCAATACCATTGTAACAGTTCCAGGAGATGTTTGGGGTCCCAGGAAAGATCTGACAGATCTTAAAGTTCCTTTCTTGCACCACATTGGTGATTAAAAGCTTATGAGTCTATGTGCAAGATTTGGTTTTATCATCGTTGGTAAAAGTGCACACAAGTTCTCTCTCCCACTCCCACAAGTAGGTCAGAGAGTTAGGGTAGATGTGCAAAAGCAGTTTGTAGAAAGTGAAAACAGTGTGAATAGAGCCAGAAGATTGTAGGCAGAAGGTTGGGTTTATTATACATTTTAAAGCCACTTGTCATATTTACTAGAGGTGCACGGAAATGATAATGGCAAAAATGAAGCCGAAGTGAAAAAAAAAGTCAGACCGAAACCAAAAATGTTTTTTTTTTTTTTTTACTTTTTCAATTAAAAAAAATATTTTTATATTTTTTTACATTTTTTAATATTAAATTTGTATTCATTTTCATTACATATTTTTATTTTTTACTTTTAGGGGCTTTGGGGAAATATTGGGACTCTAACAGACCCCTGATATTTCTCTTGAAAAATAGAAAGAGATTGAGAACACAAGTCAACAATCTCTTTTTCTGCAGCCTCTGTTATAAATGAACAGGAATCCTCTATACTGAGTGTTCCTGTTCATTCATAACTTGTGGACAGAGTGTGTTTACTATAACCACAATCATGGATGAACAGGAGGTGATGTAGATTGCTTCCCATTCATAATTGAGGATATAGTAAACATACAATGTCCTCAATTATTTACAAACACTCAGCGATCACTGACTGCTAGTACCCGCTCTCCGTCCTGACAGCTGTACCCGGAGGCTGAGCGAGTGGAGCTCAGCCTCCTGTGACAGCGCTGGCGGTCTCCGCCCACACCGCTGTCCTCGGATCTGTGACAGGAGGCTGAGCAGTGCTGGGAGGAGAGCCTGTGACAGTTACCCTCCTCCCTGCCGGGTCACAGAGCAGCGCCCAGCTGGGAGGAGAGAAAGAATGAATGCACTGTTGTGTTGGGCAGAAAATTGCACTTTCGGCATTATGCCAAAAGTGCCATTTTCAGCCGATATGTTTAGACGGTCGATAGTTCAGTGCACCCCTACATATTTACATATATTTTAAAGACATAGGACATATTTATCACTTACATTTCTGTTCTCTCTGAAGGAAAAAAAAAGCCTTATTAAATATGTGGGTAGCCCAGGAAGGAAAAGTTGTTAAGTGGACTGAAGATCCATTATCCAGCCAGTAAGTCTATTATTTTTCAACTTCCTTTAACAGACCAAACTGTCCAGTGAAAGTATCAAAAAAGAAGGTTTCAGTCAAATCATTTAACACTGACTGGGTGCTTTTAAATAGTTAAAAAAAACAAAAAAGTGTTAGCTGGGGTTCACTTTTAATTTGTTTGTCATGTTATTCCAAGTCTGCTAGTGCATCTAACACTACCCTTGTCACAGGTTAACAATGCTGCTGTCCAAGGGCAGCTCTGTTGCTCCTCCATAGAGCAGAGCCACCTTAATACAGAAGTTGTGTTACTGGCTGGATCACCAGGTGAAAATAACGGAGAAAATAAAGGAATGCAGTAAACAGTTGGTTTTCATTTACTAGAAGTGAAGCAAAAATCTAAAAATTTCAAGCACAACATTTTACAAATCTAGACAATAATTATAAAATCTGGTGAGTTGGTAACTTTATTTTTCACGTCATCAGTATGGAATTTCACCTGTTATTGACACACATCTGATACAATAGACATTTGAGTGACTGGGTGAATCCATTGAGGTCATGTCTCTGTTTGGAGGAACCACAATCTCTTCCCCATTATATCAAATTAAGGTCACCAAAATCTGCTCACTGACAGTCTGATTGAGATGGTGCCTGTAGCAAGCCTCTGAAGGAATACATACAAACAGTCTGTTGTATTCGAGTATTTGCAGTTAACCCTTCTGATTCTGCAGATACACATTGTTCAAAATGTAAAAAAAAATGAAATATGTTGTTGTGGAATCACCTTTGAACAGTTGTTAAATGGAGGACAATATGATTTAGGTGTAAAGGCTTTAAAGTTTTAGCTGTCAAAATCACAATGAATTAAAAAAAAAAAATCACTATGAATAAAGCCCCAGCTTACCAATGCACAGGGCTTGATTCTGTGCAAAATCCGCTCATCCTCGTCTGTGGCGAGAGGACAGCGGAGCCCGACGAGTAACTTTCTAGAGACGCCTGATCGCTTGTATTAGCAACTGCTGTCACTGTCGGGCCCGAGACCTGCTGCGTCTGGTGGGGCCGGGACCGGCACGGCTGCTCTGTGACAGGAGATCAAAAGGAGGTCGGTACACGATCTCCCTCTCAACTCCTCTCCAGTCCCTGAATGCAGGAAGTGATGTATATTACATCACTTCCGCATTCCTCTGTCACTCTCCAGCTTCAGAAGCTGGTGAAGCAGATCTCTGGAGGTCCCTAGGTGACATTAGGGGTCTGGGAGACCCCTAATTGCTCCATAAAGAGGACCTGTCATGTAAATTGGCTATCACGGGGATTTTTAGCCCCCCATGTGATAGCAATAAAGGTAAGTGGGGAAAAAAAGTAATACAAAAATTCAAGAAGCATAAAAAAACACAATTTTTTTTTGTAAGTCCACCGCCCCCCACATACACATGCAAACATGCGTCGGTGCGCTGTGAAAGTCGTAGTTAGAATAATAATTCTAGGGCCATTAATCACTAATAATACTAAACTGATGAGCAATAAAAGTGTTTAAAGTGTCGCCTATGGCCAATTTTCAGTGTGGTCATTTTTTTGTGATTTTGCAGGCATGCGCAATTTTAAAGCTTGTCATGTTTGGCGTCTATTCATCCGACATGACCCCGTCTTTTATATTTTACCAAAAATATGGGTAAAAATAAATATTTTATAACATAATGTAGGGAAAACATTGTTTTTACCCCAAGGCTATCGTCATGCTGACTGGTGAAGTTTTTGACTGGTGAGACACGCTAAACTTTTTCAATCCCTGCCAATGTACATAACACACGTTACTTCAGTGCCCTGGTGTAATTGGGCTCTTCAGGCAAATAGAAGAAAGAAAAAAAATATTCCAAGGAAGTTTATATTTGTTTTTTGTTTTTAAGTGCCACAACTATAAATATCTAAATCTGTCTTTTATATTAGATTTGTTTCCCCTACACAGATTGGGAAAGGGAGTATCAGCAGCTGAGCCAGTAAAGGTTATGCTGCCTAAAGCTGGCCATACACCTGTAGATTATCTGCAGATTTTCTATGATCGGATGGAAAAAGTGCAACAGATTCCTCCATCTATGCTAAACTGTGTGGATGAAGGAA